GGCTCCCACCTGGGGACAGAGCACACACACTCTTTGCAGGAGGAAGTCCCGCGGCAGTGACGACCTTTGGAGGACCAGAGGGGGGCCCCTGAGTCTTGGGTGGCCGGGGGGAGGCACTGCTTAGAGGAAATGGTGTCAAGATGGGAAGGACGAGCGGGTAGGAACCAGCGGGAGGGGGCGGGGGAAGTGGGGGAGGCGGTGTCCGGATCATCGAGGCCAGGTGGGGGCTGGTGCTGAGATGGTGCCCAGGGAAGGGATGGGCGTGAGGTACGTTAAGACGTGCGGAACCCTGACGGCACTGCCTGATTTGCACCCCCTCCTTCCCCCACATCCATGCCCTTGGCTGGTCCCCTCCCTCGCTGACTCTGGGCTCTATCAGGAGACTTCTTTGGCCAACGGGGCATTAAGCAAACCTGTCCTCGCGTGTAAGCAACAGAGCCACATGCTTCTCCGGAGACTTTCAGACATTGAGTGCCTGGGTCTTAAACCCCTTCAACAAATTCTTGGATTAAGAATTCATGGAAGCATATTTTTGGACCTTTGAACGCTGCTCATGTGGGGTTAAGTTCTAAAGTCGGCTCAAAAGGTAAAAATCAGGGACAGTCAAACTGATGTTGACAATGACCCCTGGCGGCAGCCTGACTGCAAGGTCTTCTGCTTCCTGCAGCAAGAGGACCTCCCTGTCTTCATGGGGCAGATGGCCTCCCAGGAGAAAGGCTCCTTCCTTGCATTCCCTGAAGGCAGGCTTGATCATGTGACTCTGTTCTGGCCAAAGGGATGCTGGCAGAAGTGACACCGGACAGTCAGGCTGTGTCCCCGGAGGGCAGGGCAGGTCCTCTCCTGGTCCGTGCCCCTCCTGCTGGCCGGGTCCTGCACAGTGGGAGCCGTCCTGGGCTGTGTGATGACATAAGCCTGGAGGGCTGGCAAAGCTACAATTCAGAGGCTGCCGGTTCCCTGCCACCGTGCAGCGCCCCATAGCCCCGCTTACCTTCCCAATGTCACATGAGAGAAGTCAGCATCCATCTGATTTAAACCACTGAGCTTTGGGTCTGTCACTGTCCATCTGCAAGGCCACCACGGCTGGCTGTGTCCCTGGCTTTCGAGGGGGCTGCTGGTCTTTGGTTGAGCACCAGGTAAAGAAGCTGACTAGCATTTCAGGGTCACGAAAGATCTCCAGCAGGGACTGTTGCAGTGAGACACATACTGTGAGCGCTGGGCAACCGAACCCAAGAATGGAAATACTGGAGGGGGATTAAGGGCTCTGGAACAGCCCACTCAGCCCACATCCCAGCTCCTCTGGGGAGTACAGTCTGAGAAGCATTAAAGGAACCAGTGTTTCTGTCTTAGGTGGAGCCCAATGCTTCTCAAGCTCTGTTCCTTCTCCTAAGAAGTCAAAACTTGTGACTTGGGGCCGTGGCCAGTGTCTGTGCCTGGAGGGACGGGGGCCTGACTTGTCCCAGCACCTTCCTGGCGTGTCAGCCATGGGTGGCTTGCTTCAGACCTCAAGCCTCAGTTTCCTCACCTGGGCAATGAGAGTGACAGCCCCTGCCTTGTCTCAGCAGAGACTCCCCTCATAAATTGCAGGGCGACACAAGAGACATGGGAGGTGGCGGCAATATTATCGCCTGGAATCTTTTGTGGGGACCGGGAGAAGAGAGGGCTCCTGACAGTTCCCGGGGAAGGCAGGAGCAGCTGCCATCAGAAAATCTGCACAACTACAGAGAAATGTCTGCTGTTGGCCTGAGCCCAAGGATGGGGCGCTGCGGCCCCAGTGGATCATTTTCATGAAAGCTGCAATTAAGGGGAAGTGGGGTCTATTAAAGAAGGTGGAGGGGACGCAGCCCTGGCTTCTGGCGAAGCTCTAGTTGGATAGCAGGGCTCGTTTCATTTTGCTGCTGAGCCAGGAGGCCCTGGGCTCGGGGTGTGTGCTGGGGTGGTGGGTGATGGCCAGAGCCTGTTGGGGCATGGGGGGCACCCCTAAAGCTGGGGGGGGACGGGGTAACACAGTGAATGCAAGCGTACAGGGCTCGCTGGGTGGCAGGGACAGGAAGAGCACAGAACGGGGAGCAATGCCACAGTGTGACCCTGGGGAAGCCATGCCCCCTCTCTGACTCTGGCTTCCTGAGAGGTAAAATTAGAGGGGCTTGCTTTAGATTAGGGCTTGGCAAACTCGATGTAAAGGGCCAGACGGGAAATGTTTCAGGCTTTGCCGGCCACACATCATCCTCTATCCGAACTACTCAGCTTTGCTGCTGCAGCAGGAAGGTGGCCGTAGGCAATGTGTGAACCAATGGGCGTGGCTGTGTGCCAATAAAACTTTATTGACACAGACAGGCAGCAGCTGGATCTGGGCCACGGGCCGCAGTCTGCCAAGCCCTGGCTTAGATCATTCACATCCCTTCTTGACCACCTCTTTGTATTACATTCATGTTCTTAATCATTTTCTTTATACAAATCCACTATTTTTCACCTCTTCCTTGGAACTTGCAGAACCACAGGCTTGATAAACTAGCTGCATATTTGTAACACACACATGAACATAAACTCACATTAAAAAAAAAGTCTGTAGGCTGCTATGTACGACTGAAATATGCAGTACACCAGAATTGGGCACAGCATTGTAAACTAACTATACTTTAATTTAAAAAAAAAGTCCGTGGGTTGTCTAAAACATCTTTTGTACCACGGAAGCCTGCGCACCGTGGTTCATGAGACATGTTTCGATCAGTGTTTCAAACCACTCACGTGCTGGGTTGGGGATGAACACGTGGGTGCCCGGCCTCGCACCCCGACTCTGAACAGAGCAGCCCTGCTTTGTTTTCTACACTTGGGTTTTGCATAATACTTTTGTTTAGAAAAAGGGGTCTTGTGGCCAAAAGAGTTTGGAAGCATCTAAAACTGGCTTCAAAATGAACTGGGCACTCGTGAGCTTTGGGCTAGGACATCCCAGCTCTGCCTGCCTGGGGCTGTGAGTCCCCACGCTGCTTCTTTGATTTTGTAAAGAAAAACAGACAATTTCCCACTACGCCTCTGGTCCAGCCCTCCCTTCCGAACTGGAGACACACGTCCGTCCGCCAGGAAGTGCTTCATCTCCACCAGACGGCTGACAGTCACCTCCAACTCAACGCCTTAAAAACTCAACTCCTGCTTTCCCTCTGAGCCAGCTCCTGCACTTGGCCTGTCTGAGCACATGCTGACTTCTTTCTTCCCGGGTAAGGTCCCAGACCACGGCACCGCATGGCCCACAGGCCCCCGGGGCTCCACCTTGGATACAGCCAGGACCTGACTGGCTGTCACCTCCTCCCCTCCACTGGTCGAAGCCATCACATCTCCCCTGGACTACAGCAAGAGCCCTGCCCCTGTGCAGTCAGGTCTCAACACGGTGCCAGCAAGAGCCTGCCCTGCTCTGTCCCAGGCCCCACCCAGCCCTCCTGGGGGCCTTGCTCCCCCGCCTCCCTCTCCCTGGCCCCGCCAAGCGGCATGCTCACTCGTCCCTTCCAGATGCCCCGTACAGAAAGCAGCCTCAGAGGACAAAACATCAGAGGAGACATCTGCTGGCTGTCTCCCCAAATTCCACTCAGACCGGGCGTGGCGTCCCCAGCCCCTAGGGCCAGGCCTGGGCCACACGTCTCAGCAAACATCTGTGGGGTGCATGCACCCGGGGGTTTTAGGTTCAGACCTTTCCTTGGGCTCTGCAGCAACACGGGCCCCCAGGGATGAAGCCACGGGCTCTGTCTTCGGGAGCCGACAGTCCTCTGGGAGTCTCAGGGACGCCCCATCGCCCCCACTCTCTACCCTGGAGCCCAGGATGCAAGGCAGTGCCTTCCACAGCCACATGGAGCCCCAGCATGTACCCGTGCACAGGGGATTTATGGCATTTGATGGTATTAAAAACAAAATCAAAAAGCACATGAGGGGTTCATGGCAAGCAGGTACGGAAGCAGGAAAAGCCTCAGCAGGGGAAAAATGATTGGGTGCCTTTCGTTCAAGCCACTCTGAGGTTAGGTTTTGAGTTCCGGCACACGCCGGTCTCCCTTCCTGAGCCTCAAGCGCCTCTTCTGTAGAATGGGGGCAGCAGCACTGCCCGTGGCGCAGGGGCGAGCAGAGGAGGGCGTGTTTTAACGCCGGCACAGGGCCGGGCTCCCCCGCCTGCACGTGCTGTCCCCGCTGTCCCGGCAAGATGGAGGCTGGGAACTCGGACTTCCCGTTTCCCAGAGCTGGGCACCAGTCCTGGTGGCAGCCCCTTGTGCTGTGTCACCTGGAGAATGTCGTCTGCCCCACTAAGGCTCCACTTCTGTGCATCCCATGAACTTATCTCCCACAGCTGCTGGGAGGATAAAGTGGGGAGCGTTCGTTCCTTCATCAAATATTTACCAAGCATCTCCCACCTGCCAGGCACAGGGGATGCGGTGCTGCACAGAACAGGCATGGACCCTGCCCTCCTGGGGCTTACAATCCAGGGAGGAAGGACAGACAGGAAACCACAACACAGACAACCATTCACAGCTGTGACAGGTGCCGGGAGGCGCTCAGGTGTTAGGGTTCGGGTATCTAAGGGGGGCCTGGCTTGTCCGGCAAAGGGCTCGGAAGAGCCAGCTAGGGGAAGGTAGCTATTTCAACGGCCAGGGCAATATGGGAGGACAAATTACTATTAAGCAAGGATTCTATTAATCTGTTACTATTAATACTGCTGAAATAAAATGATCACCTATTATTAGAGATGCTCAGCAAAGCAAGAGGGCCAGTGAGGCTTTTTCCGGGGGATGGGAGCGTGTGTTCCGTTTCTGCAAGGTGTGCCAAAGGGTTAAAGTCATTTTCATTAAAATTTAAATTTCAGCAGGCGCTCACTCTCCCTTTGCCGTCCTTTGAACGTTTGACTGGCAACCATTTCATATTTCAATCTCGGCAGAACAAATTGAATTAGATGTTGAAACCAAACTCAGCTCTGTTCACCAAAGCCTGCATGCTCAGCTTGCACTAATCCTTTCCTAGATGCTGCGGAGCACAGACGGGCGCTGGGAGGGACGGGCCCTGCCACAAAAGACAAAAGAGCCCAAGCAGGCGGTAGAAGGAAAGGAGGAAAAACACGGGGGCAAAGGCCGCTGGAAATTGTCTTCTGTCTGAAGCACGGGTCTCCAAGCCCGGGAGACAGACCCCGGTGTGGATCCAGGGTCCCTGTCCTTGCATCCCGGGTACCCAGTGCGCTGCCGAGCACACAGGGACGCCTAGTATTTGATGAATGAGTGAGTGAGTGAATGAATGAAGGGAGGTGAGGATTGGTGGCTGCTGGCTTTGAGGATTTACTCCGCCAGCCTCTCTCTGCCTCTGGCCTGGGCCCTTTCCCCCTCTTCTTTCCGAGAAGCCACAAGATGCCTGGGGCCCTCCCAGGGTCAAGGCGCTTCCACTGAGATCTGAGCTCACTCTGGTCTCACCATCCTCCATGCCAGCCCCCGCACAGTGTGCAAACCGAACGGAGGGGCCAGCTCGTGTTCTTCCGGAGGAAGGAGGCAGACCTCACGCCCAGGGGTCCACCCACGGCCGAGGGCCTTGGCCGGCAGGGCGCTTATGAGGACCGTCTCTAAAAGGCTCGGGTCTGTGCAAGGAGCAATGGGGTAAACCACGTGCCTGCTTGGCCCGCTCTGGGGCTGCTGGGCAGAGGGCACCCCCTCCAGGCTGCCTTCCTGGATACAGGGACTCCTTTCCACCATGACCCACCTCCTGGTGACTCCCAGTTCTGCCTGTGCCTCCGGGGGAGGAGGGGGTGCCCAGCAGGCCTGTCGTGTACACGCCAGGGTCTGACTTCCTTGGGCATTTCCCGGGGGTAGCCTCATAAGCTTTCCTATTTGTTGAATAGTAATAATAATGAGGCCGCCAATGACCGCCACCACCATTGATTCAGCGTTCACTAGATACAGAAGTCTGCTAAGCGCCTTCCCTCCATGAGCTCCCACTTAGCCTTTACAAAAACCCCCTGAGGCTGCAATTCTTCTTCCACCCATTTTAAAGACAGGAGAATCAAGGCAGGAGATGCCAAGACTTTTGCCACAGGTCACGAAGGCAGTGGGTGGTGTTGCTGAGATCACAACCCAGGCCTTCCTGGAATCAGGGCCTGTGCCCTTCTCCTCACTGTATGTCACTGCCGCTCACCTCTGCCCTCCCGCCTGACCACCTGTCCCCCTCCCACACTGACGGGGACCCTCTCCCATCCAGAGGTGTCGGCGAAGCACCCTCCCCACCAGGCCGGGGCCTCGGCTGCCTCTCCTCCTTTGCCAAGCCCCGCCCCGCCCAGCCGCGCACACTCGCTCCGCTCCCTCCTCAGGGGTCTCATGCCCTTAGCTCGCCACCCCCTACAAGCCTCTGCAATTCCCGGGGCTCCATTTGCTCAGCTTTCTGGGGCCCCAGTTGCACAATCCAACCAAACCCCCATCCTCCCAACTCTGCTGCCCTCTCTTCCTCCCCGAGGTCACCGCCGAGCCCCCCTTCCCACCAGCTCCCTCCGCTTCCTGGCTGTGCCTGACAGGCCATTAGTTCCATGCGGGGATTTCAGGTGGGGAGCTCATTACACAGGAGCTGGAGGGGCGGACAGGCAGAGGCCAGTGGGCGACAACACCCCCCAATGGGGGCCCTCGGGGAGGCAGTGGTGTTACCAGAGTCCAGGGCTCCCGGGACAGGGGGAGGGGGAGGAATGCCCTGGCTTCTCGGCTCCGCCAGCCCCCAGACGCCCGCTGCTGCTCACCTCTGCCCAAACCAGAAGCTGTGGGCAGGAGAGCCCAGGAAAACACCTGCAGGAGTCAGGCCCTGAGGGTCAGAGCAGGCAGGGGCTGGCCGTCCGGTGCACAAGTCGGGTTCCAGCTCCCGACTCTGGGAACTGCCCGCTCCAGGTCTCCCCTTGCCACCCAAGCCCCACTCCTGAACACCTCGAGCCCAGAGGCCTCGTCCAGGTGCAGGGCCCCCCGGCTCTCGGCATCCCCTGTCCTCTCCTGGGCGCCTGCTCTGGTCCAGCCCCCATCACGTGCTCTTCCTAGCTCTCTCCGGACCGTTTGGGGGTCACAGATGCCTTTGAGAAGGGGTGAGCCTGTCTCCTGGCCCGGCTCCCGTCTACACGAGGATCAGAAGGCCACCCTTCCTCAGCCATGACCTCTGTGTCTTATTTCTGGAACTCCTCTCCTAGGTCTTCTGGCGGTTTGAGGCCATGGACAGCCTATCATCACTCAAACTCAACTGAAGCCCCCTCCCTGAAAGCTCCTCCGTGCCCCATTGCCCTGGTGACAGTGTCCATCAGTCTCCCCACTGCCTTGACACAAAGGCCCGGAGTCTCCCCAGTTCATCCAGCACAAACTGGACGGATGCTTCTCTCCTAAAATGCTTTCACGCAGTACTTCTTCCTCAAAGGGCCGTCTTTCCCAGATGGGCCCTGCTCTGGGCCAGGCTAAGTACCTGGCTTTATTTTATTGTTACCGAGCTACACTTCACTTCATTTCAGAGTAACAGCAATAATGAAGGGGATAATGACAAATAAGAATGCTGCTAGCTTTAATAGCTCCTGTTAAAAGAGTTGCTTTCAAAGGCGTGAGGACAGGGCTTGGGACAACTGTTCCAACTCCAGGCCATCCCCTGCGCCAGGTGCAGTGGCTGAAAGGGACAGGATCATCCGAGGAGGGTTGTGGGGCCGGGGGCCGGGTCTGAGAGAGGAGCTGAGTGTGTTTCCTCCGGGTAAGGTGGCCGGGGGCTGTCTCTCTGAGCGAGGGAGGAGACCTTAAACCAAGATCTCAAAATGGCAGGGCTGCGGGAGGAAACTGTCAGGGAAAAAGTGGGGGGAAGGTGTCCCAGGCAGAGGAAAGCGCAAGTGCAAAGGCCCTGGGGTGGGACTGTGTTGTAAAGGTCAGGGAACAGTACATGAAGGGCAAGGGCAGGGTCAGATAAGGGAGAGCCTTCCTGTCTCAGTGAAGAGTGTGACTTCATTCTAAGTGTGCATGTGAGGCCAGGCAGGGGGCGGGCTGAAGGGTTTTAAGCTACAATTGCTACGATCCAGTCCATGGGTCCCGCTGGAGCCCTCTGGCTGCATGGAGAACGCAGTGCTCCTGGGTGTGGGTGGAGTCCGCTTCCTGCTCTGTGACAGCCAGGTGTGGCATGAAGGTGGGATGACTGGGAGCCCCAAGATCTCTAGGGGAGTTGAAGTGGTTGCTCCTGTTTGGTTATGGGTGTGATCCCTCCACCCAGTGAGCCCCTGGGGGTAGGGGTGCAGAGGCCAGGCTGGGGAAGGCAGGAGGGAGGGAACGGGACATGGTCCCCCTGCGAGCGGCTGGGGGCTCTCCCTCCTGTCACAGCCTCAGGCCCTTAGCTTCCCACCCCCCTGGATCCCCTGCTGGTCCTGAGCTTCCCCTGGGCTCGGCCTGCCGCCTGCCTGCTTTTTCTTTTGGACACCGGGAATGCAGTAAAGCACGAATGAAGGTCAAAGACAGACCAAGGCCCTGGGGTCAGACAGAGTCACATCCTGCAGGGTCGGGAGTTCTCTGGGCCTCATAACACCCCAGCGATGGAGGTGCTGTTCCTCCCACTTTAAAGATGAGAAGACTGAGGGTAAGTCACTGGCCCGCCCTCGCGAGGCTAGTGAGTGGTGGATGGTTACCAGGAACCCAGGGCCCGAGCTGGCGCACCGACCCCAGGAGGTGGCGAATCCTGCTCTGGGGACGTTCTAGTGCTGTCACCTGGGTCAGTGAAGCAGGTGCCAGTGTTGCCTCCTTCCTGCCAGGCCCACGGTCTGGATCTTACTTAACCAGATGAACCCGCATGGCCCTTAACAGGCCAAGCAGTGGAGAGGGAGGGGCGGACCCCAGCCCTGTCGTCTCTGAGACTCACGGCAACTTGGGAGGCTGGTCACCTGAGGGCCTCCGTCCAGAGCTGTAGTCTGACGTTGGTGGGATGCCCTACTGATGCAAACTGGGGGTGAGCCGCGCTGGGTCCATGCCTGTCACTTCCATCAAGTCCCAGGGATGCGCCCGGACTGACCAGGGAGCACCTGCCCCACAGGGACGATGCTGCTGCTCGCAGGGCTGTCAGCGCTGTGCAGCCTTGCTTGGATTCCAGGCCACTCCGAAAGCTGCTTGACGTGGACTGGAACCTCCTCCCAGAAAAACATACAGACCAAATTTGACGCACATCCCTGGGCTCCGACTCAGAGCCCCCTCCAGCTGTTCCAAATGAAGAAGTAAACAAAAATGCTGGTGAGCATGTGCTCTGGGCTTTACTTGGAGTGACTGATGCAGTCCAAGCACGGTCTCTGAGGTAGGCACAAGATCGCCCCCATCTTAGAGAAAGAGAAGCTGAGGGTCAGAGGGGACCTTGCTGGTCCAAGGCCAGACAGATGGGGACGGCCGGGCTGGGATTCAGACCCAGGGCAGACGGGCTGTAGCTCTTTCCTCCTCATCGTCCTGTCTCCTGGCGTGCGCTGGGCACAGATCTCCAGGTGGGAGTAGATGTGGGCATATGGGTGCCCCAAGTCTGGGATAAGCCTTGGGACACTGCTTGCCAGGGCCGGGGACCGCCTTGCACCTCACGGGGCCCCCAGCCCGTGAGCAGAGGGTGTCCGCCGTTAGTGACACAGCTGAGCTCAACCAACGAGCCTGGCATCTGGGCTCAGAGACTGGTGCTTCGTGATGGCTCTGGTCAGTGCAGACGGAGGATGCTCTGGTGACTAACCCAGGGCTCACGGTCCCACGTGGCGGGGATGGGACAGGACTGAGGCCACGTCTGAGGCTGTGGGCAGTCCCTTGGGCAGACGAGGTGGGGACTCCAGCTCAGCAGCCCTGTGGTGAGGGGGGAGCAAGAACGGAAGCTTCTGGAGCCGGCCTTACACGCTCGGCGCGGTGCCTGGCGTTCCTCAGCGGTTACTGCTTCTCCTTCTCTCTAAAGCCCTGCGCAGCGGCAACCAGTCAGTGAGGAGGAGGCTGCGGCCCGGCAGGTTAGGTGACTCGGCTGGGGTCCCCAGAGCGCCCAGCTCCATACAGCTGCCTTCACCGGGGTCACTGTTCCCGGGTTGGCGGCACTGGGGCACAAGCCCCGACGTCCCTCCGTACCCCGGCCTTCCCACCTGCAGGATGGGGCCCCGTCTGCGTCTCAGGGCTGCTGGGAGCAGGAGGAAGTGGGAGGACTCATGTGAGAACAGCCAACAGCTGGGCTGGATGCGGCGGAGGGTGGGGAAGCGGGAAGCGGTCTGTGGCTGCTTCCAGGTCCCCGTGCTGGGCGAGGGACTCCCCGGGCGGCTGCGCCCTGCCTGCTCTCCGGCCCTCCAGTCCCGGGCACACAGCAGGTGTGGTCAGCGTTTGCTGGTGCTTGCCAGGCGTCCAGGGCCTGGGATGCCCAGGCAGTGGGCTAAGGCGACTGTCCCCCCGACCTTGGACCGGCGGAGGGTGGGGCTGCCTGCTGCTCCCGCCCCGCCAGGCGGCGCTGCCCCCCGGCCCCCAAGATGGGGAGCACAGAAGCCGGAGCGGCTGTCCCTGGTCCCCGGGGCCCTGGAGCCACGTACCCGCTCGGTGCCAGCTCACAGCTGAAGGGTTTGCTCCTCGCCGTCATTCTCACTGTCTTCCAGCTGCTCCAGGATCTCGTCCAACACCACAGACCGCTTTTTCTTCGGGGGCTCTGTGGGAGCCCAGATGGCAAGAGAGGAGAAAAGAACAGCAGAGAGGGTTGGGAGGCAGGAAGAGAGAGATGACAGAGCGGGAGGGAGCGGGGAGGGAGGGAAGAGCAAAATGGGGAGGGGGCCGGGGGGAGAAATTGGAGAATGGAAGAGAGGGGAGTGGTGATGAGAGACCGGAGTGGAGACACAGACATGGAGGAGAGGGACACAGAAATGAGACAAGAAATGGGGGGAGGGAGAATCAGAGGATGAGGGACAGGAGGGATGAAGGACAGGGGATGAGAAAACAGGGAGAGAGATAAATACTGAGGCTCAGTCTCCAGCTTCACCACTCCCAGCCCCCCGGAACGCTCCTGTTCTGTCGGCCACCCCGTCCCCACCTTCCACCCACCCAGGAAAGGGCTCCATGTAGAAAGGGAGGGGGGAAGACCCCTCCCAGCAGGCTGGAGGTTAATGAAGCTCTGCCTGGTGTCGGGGGAGCCACAGCCTCCAGAGAGGCTGAGTCAAGTGAGAGCTGGGGAAGCGAGCGGAAGCTGCCCTGTCTTCTGGGCACGACAGACTCTTTAACAGTATCGTGGGCGGCTGGCCTCCAGCAGGTGTCCAGGAAAGGCAGGGTGACTAGGTGCTCAAGGATTCCAGAGGAGGCATGGAGGGAATAGCAATTAGAGGTGGCCTTCGAGAAGACGGGCTATTTGACTTGGGCTTTGAAGGGTTCAGAGGAGTTCTCTGTGAGGCGATGGGGATGCAGAGGCACAGTGTGGAAGAGCGCTGTGGGTTCAGCAAAATAGATTTCCTCTGGGCCCCAAACGCTATCGACTGTCTACTCTGTGCTTCGGATCGCCATCTTCTCAACAATCCCACAAGGAGGCATTATTATTACTTCTCACTGGTGAGGGAACTGGGCACAGACAGGTTTAGTCTAAGGGCACTCGGCTAGGAAGTGGTGAAGGCAGGATCTGAGTCCAAGCCACACCAAAGCCCACAGTCTCTCCACTTCTCATACACGTCCCCAGCGCTGCCCAGAGAGCTCAAGGGAGACAAAGGGAGGCTGGAGAGGGTGCTGGTCCCCTCGGACCTCCAGGAAGGGAAGGGGGTGGGGGCAGGTTAGGCTCTGGGGTGAGACTGATTCTGTCAGTCCCTCTGCTAGTCTAACCACTCATTAATGGTCAGCCTCACCCCCAGACAACACTGGGCCTGTATGGAGGCCGCTGGAGATGTCCTAATCTCCTCTCCTTCCCTGGCTTGAACAACACCTCTGCTGTGAAGTCCTTCAGGTGGAACAAATCACCCTGTGACCCTTGGCCATCATCTCCCCATTGGGCTGGGGGCTCCCTGCAGGCAGGGGGGTCTCCCCAGAGCCCAGCCCACCATTTGCCCTCAAGACGGAGAATCTCAGGTCTCTTTCAGGTGGTCCTGGGCAAGTGGCTTGGCCTCTTTGAGGCTATTTCTTCATCTCATTCCTACGAAGCTGCCCCGACACTGGCCCATCTCTTCTCTGCGGCTACCTGCCTGACCCAAGCACTCCCGCCTTCTCACCGGACTCCCTGTTCTGCCTTCATCCTTACGACCATCTATTTCCCACACAGCTGCCAGAGAGATCCTTCCAGAACAGGTACTGCTGCTCCGGGAGCTCCGCATGGCACAGGGAGGCAATCCCGGGGCATCGCCTGGCTGGCCCCTCCCCAGGCCTGTGAAGTGCACGGCCACCTCGAGACCTCCACCCTGGTGGCACCAGACCCCCCTTAGCTTACGCCTGCTTCTAAGTCCCCTCCTCAGAGAGAGTCCCCAGCCACTGTCTCCAGGACCCCCATCTCCAGCCCCCTCCCGGCTTCGTAGCACTTCACACCTCCGACACACAGCAGTTTCTTTGCTAGGGGACAGAGCTGTCCCACTCATGGCCATGCCCCTGCCTCAGCACACTGCCTGCTACCTAGTGGGAGCCCAGGGGCCTCTGTCTAACAAGGGGATGATGAGCGGGGTGTGAAGAGGGCACATGGTGGGGCTGGCCCCCCAGCGAGGGTGAGGAGGTGTGGGAGGCGCTCGGAGCCTCGGGCTGGGCATCCTATGGGCATCCTAGCCATCATTGCCGTCAGTCATGAGCAGGGAGAGGGGACGCGATGGGCTGGGACAGGGGCGGCCGCCCGCGGCGCAGACACTCACTTCCCTCCCTCCATCCCTCCCTCCTCGGTGTTCTGTTCCCTCATAATCGCTGGGCTCTGGAGGTGCACAATGGCCTCTGGAAATTGAATTTGTAGGCAGGTAATAGGAGCTGGGAAATAGAAGAGCAGCAAAATCGGGCCTGTGGGCCTGCCACTGTCGCCCCTCCCGGCCGCTAACAATGGGGTGGGGGCTTAGCTCCTGGGACAGTGGGTCCCTCCTCCCCTGGGCCAGGGCTGGCCTGGGGTCTGAGGGGAGGCCAGTGGCATGAGACGTGCCAGGGTGGGAACGTGCAGCACCCACGCTGCCCCACGGGCGTTTGGCTCTTTAAACGCCCGTGAAATGACTGACAGGAAGGAGAGAGCCTGGTGCTGGGCCGATTCAGAGGAAGGTGGGCCCTGAGCAGGCACAGGGGGTAGGGCAGGCAAAGGCGGGGAAGAAGAACAGGTTTGGCAGCCTTTAAAGCAGTGAGGCCCAGCTCCCAGAGGAGACTGAGCCCATGGGGCTAGGTCCCACGACAGTGGTGGGGCGAGGAAGTCCTTAGCGACCTAGGGCAACTCCAGGGCCCTGAAAGCCAGACAGTCTGAGGTCCCAGCTCTGCCACTTAACACGCAGTGAACTTGCGTGGGTCACTTCAGCTCTCTGGGTCTCGGCTTCCTCATCTGTACGGTGAAGGTGGAGACAGGACCCATCCATCTCCCGGGGAGGTGGTGAGGATTCGTGAGTTCATGCACCAGCCTTGCACCCTCAGTACAAGTGGGGCTGGCGTACTGGCTCAGGCTGGGCCCCCAGCGGGCCCCCCCGGAGCACACGTCGGGCCTGGTGTCCCCACCAAACAACACCTAGCACCCCTCGCCGGCTCTGCCCGCACGTGGCGCGCCCTGCCTGCCAGGAACAGCTGCTGAAATCCCATTTCCCTGACATCAAAAGCCTCAGTGGGTTTTCACCAAACAAACATAATGCAGCACTGGAGAAAGGTGTAAAATAAATAAACGAAACAAGCTGTGCGTTTTCTTTCAGTATTACAGCTGTACCCGAAGATAAACAACAAGTGAATGTCACCAAACATCAATACCCGAGAAATTAACTTGACAAAAAGCTCAGCCGTCCCCCAACAACCCCCCAGTCCTGCCCCCCTCCCCACCACCCTCCAACCACCATTTTGCATTTCTGGAGTTCCTATCTAATGATTTTATTTTTCAATTAATTCCTTGACAGAATGCCAGCCCGCGTCTCTCTCCTGTCCCTGGCTGGCACTGTCGCCCTGCGTGCACAGGCGGGCGGAGAGAGGCGCGAGCGGGCGGGTGGGGGGCTGTCGGGAGGACAAGAGAAAGCACTTCACGGGGTTTTGTTCCGGAGGCAGAAGTTGAGGAAAGGCAGAGGAGGAGGGGCGGTGGAGAAGAGTGTGGCTGGTCCGGGGAGGAGGGAACTCTGAAAGGAACCCTGACAAGAGGCAGGTGTGACCACCCGGGATGCTGGGTTTGGAGCTGATGGCGTTGCTGGCTGGAGCCGGGCTGCTGGGATCAGATGGAAGCCGGCTGCTCCCCGCTGGGCCACCTGAGGCCAGGGGCCTCCCCTCTCTGTGCTCAGTCTTGGCAGTTACTGGAGGCCCTGACAACAGTGCCCTGCACGCAGTAGGCACTCAGTTAAGGTGAGCCATCCTTGCTGTCATTAATGGACGCTGTTACTGAGAGCACGTGGGCAGGTCACTTCCCTCCTCTATAAACTGGGGACAGCAGTACCAGCCCTGGACAACCGCAGTGGTCGCCGTGGGTGCCCCATCCCGGCAGCCATCTTCAGAGTAAGTGGGCAGCTCTGGGACACGTTAAGGGCTCCCCACCCGCAGGCCTAGGGGTGTCTCTGGCCACAAGGGCACACATGGCCAGGGCACGGAGCAGGCCGGCAGTGTCAGGGATTTAAGCCCCCTGGAGAAATGTCCCAGCCCCCTCGACTCCCAGGGGACTGTTCTGAGGGGTGTGCTGCACAGTGGCGCCTGCTCATCGCACCCCCCGGCCTGGCCGAAGCAGGGCCTCACGTGGCGGGTTCACTGAAGAGCATCTAGATTTGCTGACATCATTTAACGTTAAAAAAAAAAATTAGTTCTAACATGTAAAAACAGGAAAGGCTACACAAGAATCTCCATTTCTAGTTTCTCCTGAATCTGGCTGATCTGGCCACACTGGGCCAATGTCCCCACCTAAGGGTAACCAATGCACTGTGTGCTAGTTGCCCATGGAGACGGAAGACTGCATTTATTTTGGTGTTTTCTGCCTGTTCCAGGAGGGCCCTGAGCTTGCTACTCCCCGAAACAAAGGGCAGGTGAGGCCTGCGCAAGCAGAGGGGCCAGGTGCAGCTCTCTCCCCAGCTTGTCCCTCGAGGGGAGAGGAAGGAGGTTGGAGTGGAGAGTGGAGGGCGAGATTCCAGGTTGGAACAAGGCCCCACAACCTTCAGACTCAGTGGCCTGCTGTCCCAGGCCACGGGGGACACAAGCAACCTGTGACCCCCACCCCTGGGGACATTAGGGTGCTGGAGACACTAGGCGTACACAATGTGAGGGGCCAGCACCCCCTTCCTCCTGACTCACAGCCCCTGCGGGCAAGATCCCCAGGCCCTCAGATGGGTCTGCACCCAGGGGCTGTTTACAGCAGGCACACACTTGATGCTCACAGGATAAAAGGCACTCAGCCAGGCACCTAAGGTCAAATGAGTGGCGCTAATGGGTACAAGAAGGCTGTTTCAGGGATATGCCTTTTCAAAACACAGCTGGTCCAGCTAGAAACCAGGTGTGACCTGAAAGCCCTTTGCTCAGAGCCAGCAGGTGGGAGACTGGGCTCTGGATCCTCTG